CATCTGCACCCAACTAATCCTATGTAAAGAAATTTCACTCACGCAAAAGCCTACTTGAAGAATGCATCATGAATATAAAATTTAAAAATGCTAAGCACAGATTCAGTAGGAGGAGGATAAAGTTACACATGGAGAGCTCTAACTCTACCATTTCTTTTTAAATTATTTAGTTGATTATTTTATTTAACATGCAGAGGCACAGAGAAATATGAGACAGATAGAGATCTTCAAGCCACTGGTTCACTCCCCTAAACACCTGCAATAGCTAGGACTGGGCCAGACAAAAGCCAGGAGACTGAAACTCACTCTAGGTTTCCCATGTGGTTGGCAGGAACCCAAGAACTTGAGCCATCATCTGTTGCCCCTCAGGATGTGCATTAGCAAGAAGCTGAAACTGGAAGCAGAGCTGAGGTACGAAGCCAGGAACTCTACAGTGGGGTACAGGCACACCAAACACCACTGCACTGAATGCCTATCCCTAACTTTGTTGTTAATGTTTTCTGTCGTAAGGTGTATTCAAGGTATATGAGTGTTTACTTTATTGTTCCTCATAACACTTTAAGCAAAAAATGTTTTAAATGCACACAGAGAAAGCAATTAGTAAATGAACAGATTATGGCATTATTAACCAAGAAGTATTTACTCAGTCCTTACTCTATTGCCAAGTACTCTAGTGGGCAATATAGGGGATACCAAGGTGAGTAAGATTCAGCCTTTCTCATCTAGACTACAGCCTCCAGTCACATCTAGGTTACAACTGCCATACCAGGCAGAATACAGGAAGTGACCTGAGTGGTATAAAAAGAGAAAAGAGGCAGGCTAACTTCTCATAGGGACTTTTCATGTACTTATATAGGAGACAAAAACCAGGTTCCAGTGCCTGGCAAACAGTAGGAGCCCCAAAACTACTCACTTAAATATGTATGTACACTCACCAAATGTAGGCATTTGGGAAGTGAACTAGTGAATGGAAGATCTCCTCTCTCTCTCTCTCTCTTTTTCCCCTTTGTCTGTCTGTCTCTCTCTCTCTCTCTGGGCTTGCCCACAAGGAGGAGAGAAATCCCTCTATGTTGTCTTGAACATAAGCTTGTTGAGCCAGGCTTCTCGAAGGCTGTCCCCAGATTACTTGCAGCAAAACCACCTGGCACATTTACCAAAGTGAAGATTCCCCAGGCCCCACCCAAGACTCTATAAATCAAAACCTTTGAGATGCACCTAGGAAGCTGCATTATTAGCAAGCTCACCAGGCAATTTTAGGAAAAGAGAGAGGGGGGAGAAAACAGTGGTGAAGAAGCAGTGTGGGGGAGGGGAAGGCAGGGTAACAGCTGGCCACTTTTCAAGACATTTGTGCTCGCAAAGGACAGCAGAGAACAGCAGCTGGAGGTCCGGAAAATATGAAGATGAACTGCTAATCAGAAGAGCCCTCAAACTATTTCTAGAGAAAGGGAAAGACAAAATAAAACTAGTGAGATGCAAATACAGATATATGTCATGGAAGACACAGGCACTTCCCCGCAGGTACAAGGTTCCAGAAAAAGAAAAAGGAAAGGGTCAAAAATGCCGAGTAGCACTATCAGACTGGCCAATGAGCTAAGAGCAGGAGCTGTTTTTCCTGACCTAACAGTCTCTGGTGTGTCTCCCCAGAGGGCTAGAGGTGACCATGCACACAGATGACAAGTACCATCCTGCCAGCCACACCTCTTCCAGACACGGCTGCTGCGGGGAGTGAAGTAAAACATGAAAATCATTAAGACGGTAGAAGCTGTACAAAATTTACTTTGTAAATGGGAACAAAAAGGTGATGCAAAGAAGGGAATTCTCATTCAAGTCATTCAGATCACCTAGCCACGTGATTTCACCCCATCAAGATTTCAGTCCAGTCACTTCGGGAAAACAGTATGACAGTTTCTCAACAACATACAATTAACTATAAAACCAAGCTAGTCCATAACTATGTATTTACCCCAAACGGATGACATGTCTGCACACAAACACGCACATGAATGGCCACAGCATCATTCATAACAGCCAGAAAGTGGAAACAACCCAAAAGCCAATCAACTGCTGAATGTATGCACAAAATATGGTCTACCCATACAATCGAACATTATAGGAATGAAGGAACAGATCTTTGGCCTAGTAGTTAAGATGCCAATTACGACACCTGAGTTCCATATCAGAGTGCTGAGGTTCTGAATCAGCTCCACTCCTGACTCCAGCTTCCTGCTCAGGTAGACCCTAGGAGGCAGCAACAATGGTTCAAGTGATTCAGTTCTGCCACCCACGTGGGAACCCTAGACTGAGTTCCTGGGTCCCAGGTTTGGCCTCAGGTAGAGGATAATGTGGGCATTTCAGGAATGAGCCAGCACATGGGGGCTGGTCCTTTCTCTCTCTGTCTCTGTGTGTGTGTGTGTGTGTGTGTGTGTGTGTGTGTGTGTCAGAGAGAGAGAGAGAGAGAGAGAGAGAGAGAATCTCTTTGCCTCTCAAAAAAGTTGTGTGTGAGGGGAGGGGTGAATTGTGGCACAGCAGGTTAAGCCAGTACTTGGGATGCCTACATCCTATATCAGAGTTCCAAGTCAAGCCCTGGCTACTCAACTTTTAATGCATCTTCCTACTAATGTGCCCAGGAAGCTGTGGAGGATGACTCAAGTACCCGGGCCTCTGTCAACCACCTGGGAGATCTGGATGGAGTTCCAGGCTACTGGCTTTAGCCTCGCTCAGCCTTGGCTGTTCTAGGCATTTGGGGAATGAACTAGTGAATGGAAGATCTCTCTCTCTCTCTCTCTCACTCACTCTGTGTGTGTGTGTGTGTGTGTGTGTGTGAGCGTGTGTGACTCTGCCTTTCAAATACGCAAATAAATATTTGTAAAGGAATGAAAAGGTGACATATTATTTGATTCCATTCCACAAATGTCCAGAATAAACAAATTGATAGTTCCAGAAAGTAGATTAGTGGTTGCCTAGGCAGGGTTAGAGGAGCAGGAGGAGTGACTACTGATGGGTAATGTTTCTTTTGGGGGGGGGGGGGGTGATGAAAATGTGCTGGAATTAGATCTTGGTGGTGGTTGGACAACTTTGTATACACACTAAAAACCACTGAATTACACTTGAAAATTACATTAAAGAAAAATTATTTCACACCAGACTTTCAGATGATCTGGGTGGGAAAGAACATGCAGGTATCCACACACACATTCCATTGCTCCACATGTGCATTAATAAGCTGTTCTTCCCAAATACTATTGCACTGAAATGGTGCCGGAATGACACCAAACCACATGAGACCATTCCACTCATTCACATTCTCAGAATAACAAGGATAATTAACTAAAATTTATTGAGCATTTACAATGTGTCAGACACTATATTAAGCATTGTATGCCTATTGCCTCCTTTCATTTCACATTACAAACCTTTCAGGTACGTGCCATTATTATCCCCATTTTACAGATGAGGAAATTGAGGCACAAATTGTGCCAGGTCACCCACCTGGGTGACTCGCCCCAGGCAATCTGATTCATGAGCACCATGCATCCTGCTCCAACTGACCTCATCTTCTTTGAATCACTTGCAAAATTCATTGACTTACATTTGCCAGATGTAAGCCAAAGCAACAGACAGCCTATTAACTGAACTATTAGCTGGAATAGCAATCCCAGACAGAACACTGGAAATACCCAAGGCTCTGAGGATGAAACTGAGCTGAAGGTTGTATTTCCTGTTACCAAGAGCATTGAGAAGTTGAGTGTGTAATCCAAGCATGAAATTCTAGACCATTATCCATTACCCTATAGACCAGGGGTAGACGACTGTTTCTCCCTGCCCACAGTAATCTGGAAATCATAGTAGCAGCAGCAAGAGCAATACCAAACACTGTGCACTGTGTGTATGTGTATGTAATACACATGGCAAACCTTGCTGAACAGTGAGGAGTAGATGGTGAATTACATAGCAGAGGCAATGAAATCAAAGAGGTGTGCTCAAGGAGGCTTTGACATTCGCACTTCTGAAGGGGCAGCAGGACTAAAGCAAGCAGAGAGAGAGGAAGAAATCACTGCTCCTCCAACAAGGAGAGCAGTCCGTGTTTAATATCCTGGAAAACAAGAGCGGACAGGCGGGAAGGGGTTATGTAAGATCGCCAAAGTCAAGGGAAGTGTTTGGGCTTGACAGAGCAAGAAAAGATAAGTCATGCTTTAGCAACAGTTGTGAAAGATTTATTGTATGGCTTGCCTACTTCATAAAAGAAAAAAATAATAAAATCCTGGCTTCAGTCCTTGCTTCCCCAACCCTGAAATTCTGCCTTATATACTGTTTCCTCATTTCATTTTAAACATTCTGCTTCTGTGATATCTAACCCTGAGGTATGACCTAATGGAACCTTCATTTCCATCTACTCAAGATGTAGAATCATTGCTCAAAATCACAACTCTGAACAAGACTCCGTTCTATGGTTTCTTCACAAAGCCTCTTAGCATGTCGCTAATGAGCATTAAATTTCCTCACACTTCACGGCTTAACCTATAATGAATCAACAGCCTCGTGAACAGCCTGTGCCTTGATAAAATATGTATTCTTCATGTGAGAAATATTTCCTTGCGCTCCCTCACTGAAATTTTCTTTAGGTAAAAAAGACTTGACAACGTATCCAACTTTTTCTGCTGAGTGCCACAGAATTCCAGTTTTCCCCTTCACTGTCTTACACACCTAACACTCACAACTGATTTTTTTTTTTTTTAAGGGGACCCTGTGGAAACTTCTCTCCCGAACTTGCCCTGCACCTGACAGCGGCATCCACCTGGGTCTCAGGTGCTTCAAGGACTTTAGCATTCCAGGCAAGAAACCCAAGAAACACACCGAAAAATCCTGTTCAGGTCCCAGGGGCTGAGTTTGCCCCGCAGAATAATCCTACAGTGAGCCCCCCTCGCCAGCACGGATCCACGCTCCGCGACGCCCGGCTGCGGCCAGGTAACCCCGGCTCCCGGGCCGGGCGGCGCACTCACCTGACCAGGGGCTCCTTCTCGAGCAGGGCGGGCTCCTCCAGGCACTTGCTAGGGCAGCAGCAGCAGCACACGGTCCTCAGCCAGCCCCTCAGCCCCATGGAGAGCGGCCGCCCGCTCTGGCGCCAGGAGCCTCGGAGGGCGCGCGCGAGGCGAGCGATCGCGGCTGGGGCGCGGCCACCGCGCCGGCGTCCAGGTACGGGGACAGCGGCGGCCCGGGCGTCGCGGGCCGGGCCGTGCGCATCACGCCAGGGCTGGGGACGCGGCCGAGGGCCGAGGCGCCTCCGCGGCCCAGGGGGGCTGCGGGCCGCGCGCCTTTGTCCCCTCGGGGTTTGCTGTTGGGAGCGTGTTCTGTTGATTTTGTTTGTTTGTGTTTTGGTCCTCTCTTAATTCCCGGGGCGCAGGTTGGGGCGCATGCGTCCCGGAGACGCCGCGCTGCTGCCCTCTAAGGAGGAAGCGGGGACTCCAGGCAGTCAGCCGCAGCCTGGCGCGCAGAGACGCGCGGAGAGAAAGCCCTGGAGCCACGGGGCACGCGGTGGGGCTGACTGGATTCAGACTTTTTATTGGCTTCCCTGTGGCAGGAAATAAAAGGTCGTCCGCCCCTACCCACCCACCCGCCACGCCTTCAAAGCAGAGTTTCCGGCATCTTTCCAGCGTGCTGGCCCCTCGTGGAGTAAGTCAGCCAAAGTGCGTGTGTGGGTGACAGGGCATCTGAAGAACTGTCCTCGATCCTTCCCGCCCCTGGAAGAAAAGCTACCGCTTGTGAGTGCCTTTGCACAACTGCTTTTGTGTTGGGTGCTGATTTATGCACAGGTGTATTTACGTGTGCTTGTCCAAATTTGTAAATGTGTGCGTGTCCATAGCTCCCTGCCTTTTTACTCTAACACTCTGGATGTCACAGACATGGTATCAGGTCCATGCGGTGAGGGAGTCCCTTCCTCTGTCTTTATAACAGGCGCCTGTTTTGCAGCCATCCTACATGCTCTTGTCTGTGGAACCAGACCCCTCCTCGGGGGTGTGGAGATGTATTCCAGGCTTCTGTTATTAAGGTGATGCCGCAGTGGACATCTTTGAGCCATGTATTTGGACATTTCTGCAAGAATATCAAACAAATGTCTGTCAGTGAATTTTGAATCTTAAGTAAGATGCCTTTTTAATTGTAATGGATCGTGCCAAATTTCTCTCCAAAGAAACAAGCCCAATTGGCACTGTCCAGCAAGACGAAAAAGTATCCACTTCCCTACCCCACTACCAATGCACAGTGCCATCTAACTTTTTGTCTTTGCCTATCTGGCTTATTCAACAAATATTGATTAAGGGTCTGTTATGTGCCAGGCGTGTTCTAGGAACTGGTGCTGGAGCAGTGAAGAAAACAAAAATCCTTGCTCTCTTGGAGCATACATCCTAGTATAGGAGTTAGACAAGTGAAAGGACAGTGTTTAATATGTTAGAAGATGAGAATGGGCACTAGAGAAAAATAAGGCAGGGACAAGGATAAGAAGTGCTAGGGAGGGTATGTCTGTGTGTGTGTTGGAGGTGGAGGCAGGGGAGAATGGTACCTACAGTTTGTTTTGAGAGGCAGTGAGAGATAAGCAGTTTCCACCCACTGGTTTACTCTCCAAATGCCAGGGGCTAGGAACACTGTCCAGGTCTCCCACGTGAGCAGCAGGGATCCAATTACTTGGATGACTACCACTGTCTCCCAGGATCTGCATTACAGGAAGCTGGAGTCAGGAGCCAGAACTGGGTATCGAACCCATGTACTCTGATGTGGGAGGTCAGCGTCTTAACCTCTGGGCCAAAAGCCCACTCCTGCCTACAATGTGAAGTGAGGTTTTTAAGGAAGGCTTCCCCGAGACTGTGACATTTAAACAGAGATTTGGAGCTGAGCAAGCTAGCAGTGATAGGTGGAGGAGATTTCGAGAGGGAATAGAAGGAGGGAGTCTGAGAAACAGCAGGGACCCCGGGGGTCCTAGAGAAAGGGGCTCAAGGGGAGACAGTAGCAAGAGTCAGAGGAATGTCAGGGACCTTGGAGGACGCGTGAGCTGAGCAAACCTTCGGAGGCTTTGGAGAGAGGAAGTGGTGGAGTTGACCTCTGCAGGTGGCAGGAGATTGTCTCTGCGGTGCCAAAGGCTGTGTTAGGGAGATGCCTCTGACGATTCAGGCGACAGACGACAGGGTGGTAGCAGCAAGGGTGGTAAAAAATAGAGGGACTCTGGGTGGAACTTAAAGATGGAGCCACCAAGAGTTGCTCGAGGAGTGTAAAGTGGAGTTTGAAGATAAAGTGGGAGAGACTCCAAGGCTTGAGGTTTACAAGCTGTGAAGGCTGACCTGCCTGCGACTGGGACAGGGGGCTGGAGGAGAAGCAGATGTGGAGGGGTGAAGAGGAAGGTGAGAGTTTATTTTCAGAAGCGTCAATGCTCGTGGGTGGCTATCATTTTCAAAAGTGCATTACTCCACCTAGATTTCCCCTGTGCTGGCTACAGAGTAAGTCTGAAGGGACTTACCAAGTGCCTCTTCATTCAGAGGCTACAACACAAGGGGAAATAGCAGAAGGTCCCTGTGGCCTCCATTTTTGTTGGGGAGAAAAGATATGGACCAATCATAAAATGTTGGCAGGACAGGACAGAGTACCAGCTGTCGCAAGGAGGCACAGGTGGGCATCAAGCCCACAATCAGGTCATTTATCCCTTCAGCTGGTGCCAGGAGAGAGGCTATGTGCTGTTCTAGAAAACAAACTTCCAGCTGACTGGGAAGTCCTCTTGGTGGACGTGCCTATGTTGTGAAATTGGATTTGGGGTTTTTAGTGAGTCCACGCCAGGTCAAGTAGGCAGTGCATAAATGGTGCTGCCAAAGTGTGAACTCAGCGAGCAAGAAAATGCCATGAGAGGTTACAGCTGCCACTAGTGACACTGGGTCTGTTGGGAATGGAGAAGTTACGGAAAGCGTCCAGCTCTGTCCCTTCACTACCTTTGATTTTTCTGAACCTCAACTTCCTAGCCTATAAAATAGGGCAGCTCTGGCTCTGCTGTGCACAGTTGCGAGACTCAAATATTTGAGACTGTTTAAAAACTGAAAAGTCCTGTAGAAATTTCAGAATTCAGCACCAATGAACCAATCCAAATAATATAGGCCTGTCAGGGAAAGAGGTCCGTTCCAACACTCCTCGGATTGCATATGACAATTTTTTTCCACATCTGTACCTTTGCCACATGTGGGCATCTTTTATGTGGTCTGTTTCAAGCAGGATATTTATAGAAAGCTGTTAGAACCATGTCTACTCCAACAAACTTGACAAAGAGGTTAATGTCCTCCCTTAGTGTATGCACTGCTTGCCTTCTCTAACAGTTACTAGTATTTTGCTTTATTGATTTATTTTCTGAAAGTATTTATTTTTTAAATATTTATTGATTTGAAAGGTGGAATTACAGAGGCAGAGAGAAAGAAAGAGAGGTCTTCCATCCGATGGTTCACTCCCCAAATGGCCACAACGGCCAGAGTTGAGCCCATCCGAAGCCAGGAGCCAGGAGCTTCTTCTGGGTCTCCCACATGGCTGCAGGGTCCCAAGGACTTGAGCCATCTACCACTGCTTTCCCAGGCCATAGCAGAGAGCTGGATCAGAAGTGGGACAGCCGGGACTTGAACCAGTGCCCATATGGGATGCCAGCACTGCAGGCAGCACCTTTATCTGCTACACCACAGCGCCAACCACTGAAAGTATTTATTTATTAACTTACTTTGAAACACTCAGAAAGAGAGAGCTCCCATCTCCCATTAACCACCCCCCCCCCAGCCACACCAAATGCCAGAGAGTTTGGAATTCGATCTAGGTCTCCCCTATAAGTGGCAGAGACCCAACCACTTGGGCCATAACTTGGTGACTTCCAGGGTAGGGACCCGGAATCAGGTGGGGAACCAGGCACTCGGGTGTGGAATATGAACATTTTAACTGCTATGTCAAAAGCCCACCCCTCTTTTTAAATTACTTTTAAGTTGCAAAAGCTATCAATGAATTATTCCTGTTAAAAAATAAAAATATTACAGTTCAAATTCCTTCTGCAAACTACCCATAATCCCAGTCCCCTTTCTACCCTGCCCAGGGTAAGCATTATTGTCAGTATAAAAAGAAAAAGAAGAAAGGGAGGCAGGGAGAGAGAAAGGGAGAAAGGGGAGAGAGAAACAAATCTTTCTGTGAACACATATGAGATGACTTCAAGAACTTCATGGAAAAATGGAATTAAAAGGTAAGCTTAGGGGCGGGCACTATAGTGTTGCACATAATGGGCACCATTCAAGTCCCTGCTCCTCCACTCTGATCCAACTCCCTGCTAATGTGCCTGAAAAACCAGCAAAGGATGGCCCAAGTGGGCCCCAGCACCTGCATGGGAGATCTGGAAGAAGCTCCTGGTTCCTGGCTTTAGATCAGCCCAGCTCCAGCCATTGTAGCCATTTGGGGAGTGAATCAGTGGATAGAAGATATTCTCTCTCTCTACCTCTCTTTCTCTCTCTTTCTTTCTCTCTCTCTGACTCTTTCTATAACTCTGCCTTTCAAATAAATAAATAAATAAATCTTTTTAAAAAAGTTTATTTGGGGTAGATACTTGGCTTAAAAATTAAGCTGCCCACACTTCATATCATTGTGCCTGCATTCAAGGAATGCTCAGCTCCTCTTCTGATTCCAGCTTCTATCTGCTGTGCACCATAGGAAGCAGGAGGTTATAGATCAAGAAATTGGGTCCCTGCCACCCATGTGGCAGCTTTGGACTGACCCAGCCTTAGCTATTGCAGGCATTTGAGGAATGAATTGACAAATGGGAGATATTCTCTCTCTATCTCTCTCAAATAAGTAAATAAATAAATAAAATTAAAATTTGTTAAAAATATAAACGTATTTCAAAGCCAGCATTGTGCACAGTATGTAAAGCCACCACCTGTGATGGCAGCATCCCATGTGGGCACCAATTCATGTCCCAGTGGCTCCACTTCCAATCCACCTTCCTGCTAATGGCCTAGGAGAAGCAGCAGAACATGGCCCAAGTGTTTCAGCCCTTGGTACCCACATGAGAGACCCAGATGAAGCTCCTGGCTCCTGGCTTCTGATTCCTGGCTTCAGCAATAGCACTGGCTGTTGAGGCCATCTGGGTAGTAAACCAGTGGATAGAAGATCTCTGTCTCTCCCTCTATCTCTCTCTGTAACTCTGACTTTCAAGATAAAGAGAGAAAGTTTAAAAAAGATAAGCTTGTTTCAATGCAAAAAAATGAAATCCATGCATAGATTTTTCATAATACACATTTTCCATGGATTTTCGAACACCCACCTGGTAAATATGTACATGCCCATGTGGTGTAGCATCACTTTGCCCATTTTATTGGCAGTCAGTTTAGCTTTGTATGCACACATCTATTTGCAAGCTTTTCCCACTTGCAATGTTTTGGAGTAGCTGTCATGAGTATTAGTTTTTTGAGGACTAAAGTTTTTCATAGTGCTCATCTTCCCAGAGTGGAACACCTTCATCATGTTTCTGTTTTTGATAAATTGGACCTTTGACAAGAGTAACAGTGCTACTAACCCCTCCAGCTTCAGCTTGCAGGTACCTGCCAGCACATTTTGACAACCTCATTCTATTCAGACATCATTCCCAGGAGAGCAGCAAGCTTCCCTTTTTTAAGGTGGTACTAGATTATTCTTACTGCCTGAATTTACGCCCACAGCACCAACCACAGCGATAGCACATGATATTTACCCCGAGTCTCTGGGCACCTGGTGTAGAGGGCGTAGGCAATCCCCTGAGGCAGTGATAACTCACAGACCCATCAGCTTCTTGTTTTTAAGGCAGAAGTAGGAAACTGGTTGGCCCCTGTTTTCAGATTTCTCGAAATGGGGGGAATTTTAGAGTCTGTTTTGAAAGAAAATATTGGTGTAGTTTGAAGTCCCTGCTCTTTAAAAATACACTGATGACTTCTGAGAGTTGGAGGAAATGACATATGCAAAGAGGAAAAAAATAGAAAATCAAAATATTTAAGCTCCAACATCACGTCATGAATTCTACAGAACAGCTGTGGTTGGAACACTGTAACACGAGCTGGTCCCATTCTGTTATTCATTCAACAAGTATTTCTTTTTTAAGTTTTTTTTAAGATTTATTAATTTTTATTTGAAAGGCAGAGTTAGAGAGAGAGGGGTAGAGACAGAGAGAGAAAGAGATCCTCCATCCACTGGTTCACTACCCAATTGGCTACAACAGCCAGAGCAGGGCCAATCCAAAGCCAGGAGCCAGGAGCTTCCTCTGGGTCTCCCATGTGGGTACAGGGGCCCAAGCACTTGATTATCTTCCACTGCTTTTCCCAGGTGCATTAGCAAGGAGCTGGAAAGGAAGTGGAGCAGCCGGGACACAAACTGGTGCCCAAATGGGATGCTAGTACTATAGGCAGTGGCTTTACCCACTAAACCACAGCGCTGATCCCAACAAATATTTCTTGAGCCAGGTACAGAGGATACAATGGGGAAACTAGAAAATAAGTTCCATGCATGAAGGTGAGGACTTGGTTTTGCTCTTTGCAATCTCCCCAGCAGATAGAATAGTGCAGACCCATAGGAGGGTGTCAATAAATAGAAGGATATGCTGTACAGCCTCATCTAGAGCAATGCATCCATATGAAAACATGGTGAGCCCTTAATATGTATGTTGACTAGTGTAAGAAAACAGAAAAAGAGCTATTTAATATTGGTGTGGAAATGTCTAACTTCTGAACGGTCTGTTTAGGTATTATCCAAATCCAGGAAAGAAAAACCAAAAAACCACCACCCTCTTCCTTACAGATCTTCAAGCCGGTACCCTGAGCCAACCTCAGCATCATCACTCCCTCCAGCCACCCAAGATGGAGAGCCTACAAGTCTCACATCTCCAGGGAAGTCTTACGGGGAGAGGTGGAGGCCCACATGACTGGAGGTCACCATAAGGTCTCTTGCTTCTGCCTATACAATATCTCTCCTTTTGGTAACAGCACTTCCTTTCCTTTGCACATGCTCCATCCCTGATTCTATAGGTTGTCCATGGGCAGTGAAGGCACCTTGCACCTCTTACCCCTCACCCCCAACAGAGAATGAGCATGTGACTAAAGTGAGTCAATTAGACACTCTCCCTGCAATTTGTGTCTTAAGGGCAAGGACCGAAAGATGGAAAATGGCTGGAGTTGGGACAGGATTTATTTTAGCGATATGCTGAAGAGTAGGCCCAGTGCCATTGGTATATGTATAAATAGAATTTTCCTGCTCCTGCATTTCCCTAGGCCAAGTTTTTCCAGCTGTTTAGTTTTCCCATCATGTTGTACATTACTCCATCACTTGTCAATCAGTAATGTATGTTTTCCTTTTTTTTTTTTTTTTTTTTTTTGGCTAATGTTAACCAGGGTCACAGTCTGTAGCTTTCAGAACTAACTCCATACAGCCCCACTGAAGTGGTTAACGTGAGGAAAAAGGGTCATTGTGACAGTTGATCAGTCTTGTTAGGGTAAGGGAGGGGATACAGTGCACCGAAGTTGGATTTGGCCAGGTGAGATTTGTGTTTCTTTTTCTGTGCATGATTTCTCTCTGAAGAGAAGTGGACAGTATCCGTGGCCTGAAAATCCTTCAATCCCATCTCTTTGTGCTTTCCCAGAATGCAAAATACTTTCTGACTTTTCAAGATAGTTTTATTTGATGCTGTCTCCTGGTCAATTTCACTTCCCTACCACCCTTTAAATATATACTTTGAGAAAACCTTAATAATCACAATCTTTGCTCATTCTTCAGTTGCAAGGGACAAACATTTCTGCTCTCCTCAAAGATGAGCAAAGCTGCTTTTCTAAACAACTTAAACTCTTTTTAAAAAAGAGGGTGCCTGTGAACAGAATAAATACAAGCCTGAGTGGGGAGATGAAGTGGTGAGCACACTAAGAGGTTCTTCTTTAAAAAACTTGACTCTGGGGCCAGCGCTGTGGCATGGTAGGTTAAGCTTCTGCCTATGGTGCCAGCATCCCACATGGATGCCAGTTTGAGACCCAACTGCTCCACTTCAGATCCAGCTCCCTGCTAATGCACCTGGGAAAGCAGTGGGAGATGGCCCAAGTGCTTGGACCCCTACGCCCATGTGGGATACCCAGAAGAAACTTCTGGCTCCTAGCTTCAACTTGGCCTAACCCGGGCCATTGTGGGTATTTGGGGAGTGACTCAGTGCATGGAAGACCTCTGTCTCTCCTCCTCTCTCTAGCTCTGCCTTTCAATTAAATAAAAAATAAAGCTTGAATTAAAAAAAAAAAAAACCTCTTGCAGCCTTACCATGAAGGGAACCTAAACCTGTTGAGTAGCAACTCAATCCAGCAATTTTGGTTCAGATTTTTGTGGTCTTTGTCCCCTGAATATTAATCAGCTGCTAACTGTAAGTGATAATAACATCGTTCAAACTGGTTTCAGTGTGACAGGAAATGTACTAGCCCAACTAACTGGAAATTTCAAAAGAAATGCTGGTGTTTGACACACCTGGATCCAGGCGCTCAAAGGTAGAATAAAGGTGAGCCTCTTTTCATCTCTTTTAGTCTTGGGTCCTCACGAGCTCCAGATTGCTCAGCTTTTCTGCACAAAGGGAACATCGTCTTCCCAATCAACAGACCAACAGGCCCCAGGCTCTGCTCTCACTGGCCTAAAATGCAACCAACTGCTCTGTTCAGAGGGAAAGAATACATCCAACTATCAGGCTCTAGTCTCATGCACACCCTGGTGCTGTTCAAGTGAAAAGGAACTTGGGATCTAGGAAAAGTCAGTTGTTTGGACAAGAGTGGGGAGAGGCATAGTTTCCTAAAGAAAATCCACTGGAAGCACAGCAAGGAGAATAAATATTGGGAAGGCAGAGCAACACACATCTAGTATGCTTAGCTGCTGATGCACAGATCCAAACACAGTTGTGTGTGTCCAAGAATCTTCTGTTACCTGGAGTGGACAGAAAGGACCCCACAAGAAATAGCCAGTCTATAGCCTCAACACATGCTACAGGCACTTTCTACAAAAGGAAATTCAGAATCCCACTGCATACACTAAAAATTCACAATTAATTGATGAGCTCATCCATATCTACTCCTCAAAACAAAGAGAAAGAGAAATGACATCACTGAATGTACATCCATGTCTACATCCAGTAATGTGCCCATTGCAATTAAATTCCCATGTCTAACTGTACTCCTGGAATTAATTCTACTGTCATGGCATTCTATCACGTGGGTGACAAACACTTTTCCAATGCCCAAAATAGTCTCTATTCTCAGCCCAGGAGATGAGATCTGGACTCCCATCTCTTCCCACCCCTGTAAGATCAGCCCCTCTACAATTCCAAGTGTTCAACACTATCAAAAGTCTCTCCATATTATTATTGTTAACTAAAATTAAGTATATGCTGGACCCATCTATCAGGCCATACCTCTTTCTAATCCAATTAGACTCTAGTAAAGATTTATTAAGCACAAGGTGACACAAAGCTATAAAATATGAGAAAATATACCTCAATAACTATAATTTGAGAAAACATTAGTATCATTCTTACTTGCTGTGAAAGACCCAATGCTTGCCTCCACTCTAAGCCCAGGTCCTGCCAATCTGAGTGCTAACAGATAAATAAATTTATGCATATGGATTTTTAGTTTGCAATTCCTTTATGTAATTTCTTTCTCCATAATACCCACAGAGACACATAAACAGACCAGAACCCTTCAAGTTCTATACAGGTGAAGGTACTAGGTAAATCTCATAAATTACACACTAGGGAGCATAAGCCCTCCTAAAATCCTCTCTACTGCCACCTCATGGCCTTCAACTGTAAATGAACTGCAGTCTCTGGAGATGGGGGTTAAGATTCTGAAACGCGTGAGAAAGCTTTCTTTCACTCCACAGACAGAAAGTTGGAGCAACTACAGATCTTAAAAGGCCATAGTAATATTTCAGTGTAGATTCTGACTGGCTTTAGGCCAAAGTCTAAACTTGTTTGGGTACTGCTAAATTGAACAGTAAGCCTTCTCTTTTCATCTCTACCATGTTCCAAGCATCACTCATTATTGTATTATTATCTCATTTGGTTATTTAGCATTAGTATTTGACTTGTTATCCTGAAAAAGTGCATAGGCTTTTACATATATTTCTACATAAAGGAAATTGTTTTGATAAATGATTGAAATTAAGGAGTGTTCTTTAAAATGATGTTATTTATTCCCTCTTTTATGTACTGAAATAAATCTGTCTCAGACACTGCTTGACAGTATAGATGAAAAGGTGTTTGGCCTAGCATTAACATGAAAGTTAGTATGCCCATGCCCAAGTCAGAGTGCTTGGGTTCAACTCCCAGCTGTCACTCCTGATTTTAGCTTCCTTAATGCAGACCCTGGGAGGCAGTGTGGATGACTCATGTAGTTGGGTTTCTGCTACCTATGTGTGAGACCTTGACTGAGTTCACAGACCCTGGCCAGGGCTCCCCTAGCCCTCGTAGGCATCTGGGGAGTGAGCCCACAGATGGGAGAACTCTCTCTCTGTGTTGCTCAAATAAATAACTAGGTTTTTTTTTTTTAAGGTAGGAGAACAATTCCTTAGGAAAAGAACAGATGTGGTTCGGTGAAACGCATTAACTGGCCATTTTGGCTGTGCAAAAATTCCCTCAGGGGCAGGCAGTATAGTGCAGCAGGTTCAGCTTGGAGTACCTACATCCCATACTGCAGTGTATGGGATTGAGTCCTGCTTCTTCTTTCAATCCAGCTTCCTTTTAATACACCTGGGAGTTAGCAGATGAGGGCCAACTACTTGCGTTCCTATCACCCACATGGGAGACCTGGCTGGAGTTTCTCATTCTTGGCTTTAGCCTGGCCCAGCCTGGCCCAGCCTGGCCCAGCCTGGCAGTTGCAGGCATTTGAAGAGTGAATCAACAGATGTAAATTTAAAATAAATAAATCTTTTTAAATTTATTTTTTTGATTTTATTTAAGTTATACAAGTTTCATGTATTTCATTTATACAAATTTAGGAACATACTGATACTTCCCACCCTATCCTCTCTCCCACCCATGCTCTAACCCATCTTCCTCCTCCCTCTCCCATTCCCACTCTTAATTTTTACAAAGATCTACTTTCAGTTTGCTTAATGACTGTAAGGTTAACCCTATACTAAGTAAAAGAGTTCAACATAGTATGAAGAAAAAAACACTGTTCCTCAACAGAAGAGACAAGGTCCACAAACAATCATTGAATCTCAAAATATCCATTCTTTGAAAAATAATTGCATGGACCCAGAGAACTATCTTGTTCTGCGTGGTAAAGGAGGAACAGTTTGAGTTTCCCTCAGAGATTTCAGAGGAGCAGGAACTAGGAATGTGAGAAGCTGGGAGATGAGGACAGGCTGGCCTCAGAAGGGCATTGACAGGGAGCCTTTTCTCCAGAAAGGTGGCGGTCGGCCCCTCCATGACAGGTTAGCACCATGTGCCAGTGCTTGGGGAAGCTCAAGTTCTCAACACCTTAATGGATGTTCCATGCCTTCATTACCTCTTAACATCTTTCCTATATTTGTCTCTGGGCTACATTTTTTTAGATATGAAAGAAAGATGTTTCATCTGCTTGTTCAATCCCCAAATGCCCACAGTGGTCAGGGCTGGACCAAGTTGAAGCCAGGAGCCTGTAACCAGCATCCCACATGGATGGTAGAAATGCAGTCACTTGAGCCATCACCCCTGCCTCCCAGGGTCCACATTGGCAGGAAGCTGGAATAGCATTCAAGCCAGGACTTGAACCCAAGCACTCCACTATAGGATACAGGCATCCAAAGGGGTATATGAGCTGCCTTGCCAAAACCTACCCCACCAGGCTTGCCATGGATATTCTGCAGTCCGTAGGATACCCATGTCTTAAAATATATAATGTGTGTGTGTGTGTGTGTGTGTGTATATATATTTGTTTTCTTTATTTGAAAGGGAAATTTACAGAAAGAGGCAGAGGGAGAGGTCTTCCATTCGCTGGTTCACTCCCCAAATGTTTGCAAAAACAACAACCACCAGGACTGCAACAATGACAAGAAGAAGAAGCCAGGAGCTTCCTCCACATCTCCCGCAGGGTGCAGAGGCTCAGACATTTGCACCATCCTCAGCTGCTTTCCCAGGCAAGTTAGCAGAGAGCAGGATCAGAAGTGGAGCAACCCGGGACTCAAACCAGCACCCATATGGGATGCCAGTGCTGCAGGCCAGGGCTTTAACCTGCTATGCCACAGCGCTGGCCTGAGACCCATCCGTTTGCAGTTCCTATTAAACAGAGAGTGCATTCTATGTAGAAAATACATGGATTATAAAGATGAAGAACTGAGAATATCCCTTTCTCAGACTGTGGCACCATATCCTTGAGAAGGAGCAATAAAACCTTAAAAATGCACATCTTGCCCAGATGGAGAAATGAGACTTCCAAATAAAGGTGAAATCCTTAAATATCACCCCAGAGTTATGCTAAAAACTATTGCCTTAAAGAACTTGAGAAGAGAAAACATTTTAAATTCCAGTCCCCAGAGAGCAAAGGTTTCTGGCTCAGAGGAGCTCCAGCATGCCAGGACACCTCCTGTAACCCTGCCGACAGTCCAGTGTCTACCGGCTCCTCAGGAAGCCAGATCTGAGGCGGAGCTCTCAGGGACACTTGCGGAATCAACACCCATGGAAAAGAAAGGAAAAGCAGGCAGGACTGGGCCTCAGCCAACCTTAGGGGGAGCTCTGAAGACAGATTCATCAATGTCATCCCATGATAATCAGTCTCTGGGTGGGCGTGACCTTGGGTGAGGTAGGTCTCGGCGGGGGCTGTCTGGGATAGAGGCTGGCAGCGCAGGGCTGTCTGCCAGGCTCCTTCTTTGCTGGGAGGGCCCTGTTTGGTGCATCCCAGCATCCGCTGCCCTGAAAGCCCTAGCCATCACATGGAGAGTTCCCCAAGCTCAGCATCTCCCGCCTCTGAAAATGCCAGGATTCTTTCATCAGATTTCTTCAGTATAAGATTAAGGCCTCCAGGCATGATCACTAAAGACTTCTGCTCTTAGGAAAGAACAATGTAGGGCAGCTGTTGGGTGCAGTAGTTAAGTCTCTTTGGGACACCTGCATCCCATATTAGAGTCCCTGGTTCAAGTCCTGGCTCTGCTTCCAATTCCGCTTCCTGCTAATGCACATCCCCAGAAACAGCCAGTGATGTCTCCAGTACTTGGGTCCTTGTGATGCAGGTGGGAGACCCAGATTGAGTGAACCTGCTGGTTCACTTCCCAGACGCCTCCAATGGCTGGGGTTGGGCCAGGCCAAATGTCAAATGGAATATTCTCTCTCTCACTTGGCCTTTCAGATAAATTTTTTTAAGGAGCAACCTTTTACCATAGTCTCAAACAAAATCTCTTTATTTCTTCATAGTTTTAATATTCTTCAACCATCCAGGATTTTTAAAAGGCTTCAGTAAAACCAGAAGTTGGATTATCTATAAACAGGAAACCAAAGAAGTCTAAAAAAATTTTTCAATATTACAATTTTAATTCAGAAGGTTAAAATTATGGGGTAAGAAATGCCGACACTCACTCTGAATTACCCTTAAAAATGACTCTTTTTAGTTGTGCTTTTTAAGTCCATGGTAATTATTAGCATTTGAAAAAGATGATTCTGTTGAGTCCTAACTAGAGCTACAAACTGGCTAAACCTTGTGACTCAGCCTAGAGAGATGAAAATAAAATGTGAATGGTTCAAGTAGTCAAGAGAAACAGGGAACATTGTTTCTGATTTTCCAATTGGATATAAATTTCCCCACTCACAGCCTCTGAACTCAGGTGTATCAACACTACCCAAATAATTTGCATTTTGTGCAACCCTACCTGTTTACCCAGGTGGCTGGTGGGAGCTGACTAACTGATAATGCTGAAAAGAAAGTGAAAAAAAGTCCATTTGCAACCTGGTTTTGCCTTCCTTGTGCCTTACTCGTATCTTCCATAGGCTCCTGGATGCCCAGAACAAACTCTCTACAGTTTCTCCTCAGTGCTTTTTATGTAGAAGTGTTATTGAAGAACATAAACCAAAATTTAATATTTCGGGTTCATGCTATTTGCCTAGATTAGAATTCTAAGCACCTGCCCATATGAAATAGACAACATGGTAAAGTTCAGGATTTATTTGGAAAGTGAGAGAAATACATAGGAACGTGAGGGCTTTGTTAAGGAAATGTGGGTCAGAAAGAGTAAGTGGGGCATTCCACACCAGCCTTTTCCAGAGGGCAGGCCAGAGGCTGTGAGAGGAGAGTGGTGAGAGGGCAGGCAAGCACAGCACGGGAGAGCAGGCAGGAGAAGCGGCAAAACAGGGCCAGCTCAGCACACGGCAGCCTCATATCCACTTCCAAAATGGGAGTGGTTATGTAGTCTGATTGACAGGTGGATGGATATAGGTGAGATCACACAGGGGTCAAGGAGGTGTGGCCTCCAGTTCATGAGCACAATTCTGTCTCCCTGATTGGGTAGATATCATTGTCCCCTCAGAGATTCCAGACCGTTAATCTTAAGGAGGTACTGAAGGACATAGACTCATCATATCTCCTATACCTACTTCCTGCTGATCAGGGACACAGACCCTGCTTGTCCTAGGTCCGGAAATCTCTTCCTGTCTCATCTAATGAATTCATTCTTGAGCTGGAGAAGTTTCAGTCACCACCAATGGCTGTATCCCCTACATGGTCATCATTACTCTAGGAAGTCATTGAGTTCTGAAACACACAAGTTTATCAGTCAGCATAAACAAAACTGGAACAAAACCAATTGTAAGTGGAGTGCCCTTTATGATGGAAAGAACATATTTTATAGACTCCCAGATGGTGGGTGGTGATAGGCTATCCTTATGCAGATTATAAAACTATTTAGCATGAGCATAGAGATTTTAATGTCTCTTTCAGTAAACATACTACTGTTCAAGTAAAGGTGGCAGATTCCATCAATCACAACACAGGTTCCTCCTTGTTCTATTAATACGTATTCCAAAGCCTGTCTGTTGTCTATAACTATCTTGGAGAGAGTGTCCACAGACATAAGTACTTGCTGTAAAAGCTGGTCTGAAGTGTAAGCCAGATTACCTAAAGCTATGGTCAAGTGTTTTTTGTTTTTTTGTTTTTTTATTTTTTTAATTAGCTTCATGTGGTTCACCAGGACAGGTAGTAGTTTAAGCGACATTTTGGCTGTCTCCTGGAAAAGCTTAGCTAGAATTTTCTTAAAACTATGATTAGTCTCTTCAACTTTACCCAATGGCTGAGGTCTCCAAGAGGAATGGAGATGGTAAGAAATTTCTAGAGCAGTAGCTACCTGTTGAGTTATTTTAAATAAAAATGAAGGTCCATTGTCACTCTGAAGTGACTGTAGGAGTCCAAAGCATGGTGCAATGTCCTTCAGCAAGGCTTTGGATACCTCCTGTGCCTTTTCTTTTCTTTTTTGAAGATTTTATTTATTTATTTGAAAGTTAGAATTACAGACAGTGAGAGGGAGAGACAAAGGAAAAAGTCTTCCTTCTGTTGGTTCACTCCCCAGATGGCCGCAACAGCCAGAGCTGCGCCGATCCGAAGCCAGGAGCTAGGTGCTTCGTCCTGGTCTCCCATGGGGGTACAGGGGCCCAAACACTTGGGCCAACTTCTACTGCTTTCCCAGGCCATAGCAGAGAGCTGTTTATAGTGGAGTAGACACTGAATGTTCTCCGTCCACCCTCTATCAAGGTTCCCCGTTGATTCTGGTTGCCTGTAGCTCATTCCTAGAATATTCTTCAGGAATGTTCTTGGGGAAGACATTCTAAGTTTATAAGTTTGTGTCCTGAATACTTAAATTTGGCTGGACACAAAATCCTTGGATCTTTCTTACTTTGTTTTCTTTCTCAAAAAACTTTTTTTTTTTTTTTAAGATTCGTTTATTTGAAAGGTAGAGTTACAGAGAGGCAGAGGCAGAGAGAGAGAGGTCTTCCATTCACTAGTTCATTCCCTCAAATGGCTGCAGTGGCTGGAGCTGAGACAATATGAAGCCAGGAACCAGAAGCTTCTTCCAGGTCTCACTCACAGATTCAGGGGCCCAAGCACTTGGGCCATCTTCCACTGCTTTCCCAGGCCATAGCAGAGAGCTGGTTTGGAAGAGGGGCAGCCAGGACTTGAACCAGTGACAATATGGGATGCTGGTACCACAGGCATAGGATTAACCTACTGCGCCACAGAGCCGGCTCCCCGGTTCCTTTTCTGTTTTAGATGGAAAGGCTTATATCTATCCTGTGAAGGTATCAATAAAAACTAGAAGATATTTATAATTATTTGTTGGAGGCAGTTAGTGAAGTCAATCTGCCATCTGCACTTGGGTATCTTCCTCTGCTTGGCACAGGAGTCAGCAAGGAGGCAGTTTTACATGACCACCAGAATTATTTTGTAAACACAGTGTGCAAGAATGAGTTACTTCCCTCATGATAGCATTTAGTCCTTTCCCTGCAAACACTCAAGAGACTGTTTGCATCAAAGCTTCTCTTCCCAGATGAGTAGAATCATGTATTTCCTTAATAATTTTCCATTGAGAAGCCATTGGGAACATAACCTTGTGATCCAAAGCCCTCATCCATTAGCATCTTTAGTATAACCCCGTTGTTGGGCCCATTCAATCTCAGACTTGATGTAGTAAGGTTCTTTAGTCATTACTACAGGTTGATGTAGTGGAGCTATTTCTAGAGCTTCCTGTGCAGTTCTTTTTGCTGCTTTATCTGCTACTGCATTTCCCGAGCTAACATAGATGTCTCCCTTCTGATGTCTGTTACAGTTAATGGCAGCCACTTCCAAAAACTCTAGTACTACCTGAAGTAGAGCCATTATCTCCTTTCTGTATTTAACAGGGGAATTCTTTGCAGTCAGTAAGCCTCTTTCTCTCCAAATTGTTGCCCGTGTGTGTAATGCACGTAAAGTATATTTGGAATCTGTATATATATTAACTCACTGACCTTTTCCTAGTTGCAAGACTCTAGTTAATGCAGTAAATTCAGCCTTTTGAGCTGAATTATTGCTTGGTAATGCTTGAGTTTCCATTTCCTGGGTAATATCTACTATAGCATAACTTGCCTTTCTAATTTCTTCTTTCATGTAGCTTTGGCCATCAGTAAGCCATTCAGCATCTGGTTTCTCCACAGACTCATCTTGTAGGTCAGGTCTACTAGAATACACCTGGTTTATAGTTTCTACACAAGAATGAGTTAACTCTTTCTAGTACCCTCAAGTGGTAACAGAGTTGCTGGGTTGAGGACCTGGCACACTTTAAGAATTTTCTCAGACAAGTCTAACAGTAGAGCCTGATGTTTTATGAGGTGCCCTCCTGTTAGCCATTGATGTCCTTTAACTTCCAACACCCCTTGCACCTAGTGTGGAATTTGAACTTCAAGTGGCTGGCCAAACGTCAGTTTGGTGGCTTCCTCCACCAAGAGTGCTGTAGCAGCAACAGCCCTTAAGCATGCAGGCCACCCCGTAGCCACTGAATCTAGCTGTTTAGAAAAATGGGCCACTGGTTATGGAAGTGGACCCAATTTCTGAGTCAGTACTCCTAGAGCAACCCCCTGTTTCTCTGCTGTAAACATGGTGAATGGCTTACTCAGGTTAGGAATTCCTAATGCTTGGGATTCTGTTAAAAGCTCTTTAATTCTTTGAGATGACTTCTGTAACTGCCCTGTCCAGCAAAGTAGGTCTGTGTCAGGGCCTTTTAAAGCTTCCTACAAAAGGTTGGCTATTAATCCAAACGCTGGAATACATATTCTACAGAGTCCTGCTGTTCCCAGAAATGTTCTCAGCAGCTATTTCATCTGTGGTGACTCCACACATAGAATAGCTTCCTTTCTCTTGACTGAAAGTGCACGCTTCCCTGGGGATAGAATATATCCCAGGTAACCTACCTCTTGTTTAGAAACCTGAGCTTTTGTTGAGGAAACTGTATCCTCATTCCACTGTGAAGCTCAAAACCTGGGTGGTATTTTTATCTGAATCCTCCCTAGAGGGGCTGCAGACTAGAATATCATCTACATATTGAAGACTGTGCCATTATTTAGCTCTAATTTCTCTGGGCTCCTTTGCAAGTACATGTGCGCAGGCTGTCCCAGAACCTTTGGGGGAGCACGGTCCATGTGTATTGCTCAGTTATACCTGAAGCTGGGTCAGTCCATCCAAAGGCAAATAAAAATGCTGAACTTAATGGAACGCAGAAGAAAGCATTCTTTAGGTATAAAGCTGTATACCACCAGTGCCGTGGCTCACTAGGCTAATCCTCCACCTTGTGGCGCCGGCACACCGAGTTCTAGTCCCGGTTGGGGCACCGGATTCTCTCCCGGTTGCTCCTCTTCCAGGCCAGCTCTCTGCTGTGGCCAGGGAGTGCAGTGGAGGATGGCCCAAGTCCTTGGGCCCTGCACCCCATGGGAGACCAGGATAAGTACCTGGCTCCTGCCATCGGATCAGCGCAGTGTGCCAGCCGCAGCGCGCCGGCTGCGGCGGCCATTGGAGGGTGAACCAATGGCAAAGGAAGACCTTTCTCTTTCTCTCTCTCTTTCACTGTCTACTTTGCCTGTCAAATAAATAAATAAATAATAAAAAAAAGCTGTATACCATGGGGTCCTTTCAGGTATTTGTGTCAATAAAGTATAAGGACTTGGCACAATAGAATGAATTGGAATAACTGCCTCATTAATAGCCCTGAGGTCCTGAACCATCCTGTAGTCTCCATTCAGTTTTAAAACAGGCAAGGTAAGAGTATAACAGGGAGATTGACATGGGACCAAGAGCCCGTGTTTGAGAAACTTATCAATCAAAGGTTAGAGACTCCATCTCCTAGCTTCTGGCTTTATTGGATATTGGCGCTGGTCAAAAAATGCAGTCTTAGCCTTTAAGAAAATCTTGACAGGCACAGCAAGTGTAACCTGTCCAGGAATTCCTTGATCCCAAACTCAGGGATCTACTCTTTTATTTTTTTAAAGATTTGTTTGTTTGAAAGTCAGAGTTACACAGAGAGGGAATGAGGGACAGAGAGAGAGAGAGGTCTTCACTCCCCAGTTGGTCACAACAGCTGGAGCAGCACTGATCCGAAGCCAGGAGCCAGGAGCTTCTTTCTGGTCTTCCCATGCAGGTGCTGGAGCCCAAGGACTTGCACCATCTTCTACTGCTTTCCCGGCCATAGCAGAGAGCTGAATTGGAAGCAGAGCAGCCAGGTTTTGAACCAGCACCCATATAGGATGCCAGCACTGCAGGCAGTGGCTTTACCTGCTACACCACAGTGCCAGCCTATACTCTTTCTTTTATATCAGTAGGAATATTATCTAAACTAGGATGTGCCTCATCCTAGTACTAGTACTAGCTAGTACTTACTAGCATCATAACTAATTACTTACACTTAGGGGAAGTTAACTTTTAAAAAGCATCTAAAGGTGATAACAAATCTGTTCCAAGCAATGGAGTTGGATGCTCCAACATAACTAAAAATTGGTGAGTAACAAGAACATCTTCCATCTGACACATCAAGGGTAAGGAGAATCTTTGGGACTGAGGTTTCTCATCAACTCTCTTAACAGTGCAACTTTCAAGGGAAAGGGGTCCAGCTTGGGAAGTGAGCACAAAGTAGCTCCTGTGTCAATTAAAAAATTAACATGCTTCCCTGCAACCTCAGTAGTCACCCAGGGCTCTTGACATGATAAGCCTAGGCTGTGGAAGCCATTTGAATCCCCAAATTCTATCAGTCTTCAGATAAGGCCATGAGCAAAGTGGAAGTCTGATGACCACTTCTTTCCACTGGGGTCTCACCCACAGAGGTCCTCCTTTGATGACCACTTCTTTCCACTGGGGTCTCACCCACAGAGGTCCTTCATGTAGGGAGACATTTTGCATCAGTGCCCTGACTTTCCATGGCTGAAATGCTCTTGTGGGCCTTTCAGCCAGATCAGAATGCTTAGGGGCTGACTCTGAGGTCACTGAGTACTACGTACAGCAATTGCCATTCTATGAGTCTACTGTATGGACTGCTTCCATATTGAAGCACTCTCTCCTGTTTTAATCCTATCTATTATTAATAAACAGTTAATCCTATCTATATGATCATATGATCACCAAACACTTAAAGTGCTATTTTTACCATCTAGCTTAAGGAGAGTTGGGATCTCATGGTAAGTCTGCAGAACTATACAGCTGAACAATCTCTTTGTAGGACCTGAGAAGATAAAAACAGACACAGCTCTTCACAAGATTAATTATCTTTAAGCATATAACTTGGATGCACTGAATTAGCTATAATTTTGACACCTTAAAGTCTCCATTTGTACATAAAATGGGGCCCATTACTTTACCCAGCCCACTGAGGGGGCTCCCAATTTTTATCTTTTTCTTTAACCCAGTGTAAAGCTAAAACGCCATACCAAAACAAAAATACAACACCACCTTGTCCAAGATGAACTCTCAGAAGGCCCACTGTGCCAGGGATACTAAACCCTAGGAGGCCACTGCCATGCCTGGGGAATGGAACCCTAGGAGGACAAAGAGAATCAATGTAAAGCTAAAATAAAAATATGGGAATCCAAAAGGGGACCAGTGCATAGCCAAAAAGATAAGCGAGCTGGTGTGAAGCCAAAAGGTTAAAAAAATGAGGGATCCAAGAGGTCTAGCATAAACCCAAAATAAAAAGTTAAAATAAAAATGCCATAATACCAAAACCAGCAGAGATCCAAAATAATAAACCAGCATAAAGACAAAATAAGCTTTAAAAAAGCCATAACAAAAAACCACTCCGCTAATTGGGCATGTGCAGCATGTGGTCAGCCATGGGGGCTGCCATCTTGGGGGTGGCGTCTGTTGCCCATCTTCCAGTTAGGGCAGAAGTCCCCATGGGTACCTCCATCTTGGAACTATGTGTTTTTAATGGAGGCACTATCTTGGCAACCATATGTGAAGCAGTTTGAAATTTCCTTACCATGTTGGCTGGTTTTTAAACAGATTAAACAAGTCCCTTTGTGATTGCCATTCATGTTATAAGAAAACATAAGCCAAAATTTAATATTTTGGGTTCCTGCCATTTACTTAGATAAGAATTCTAAGCATGAGCCCATATGAGATAGACAACATGGTAAAATTCAGGATTTATTTGAAAAGTGACAGAAATATACAGGAATGTGAGGGCTTTATTAAGAGAAACCAGGTCAGAAAGACTAAGTGGGGCATTCCATACCAGCATTTTCCAGGGGGCAGGCCAGAGGCTGCGAGAGAATGCACCGGCAGGAGAGTGGCGATAGGGCAGGCAAGTGAAGCACGGGAGGGCAGGCAGGAGAAGCGGCAAAACGGGCCAGCTTAGCGCACTCCAGCCTCTTATCCACTTCCAAAAGGGGAGTGGTTATGTAGTCTGATTGACAGGTCGTTGGATACAGGTGTGATCATGCAGGGGGCAGTGGGGTGAGGCCTCCAGTTCATGAGCCTAATTCTATCCCCATGATTGGTCCCATATCAGAAGCAACTTACTCTTTCCCTGTTACTCTTATCTAAGTCATAGATCATTTCTATTTTATAGTGTTTTTTGTATTTTGATGATTTCTGAACTTATCCAGAGGAGAAAATAGTGCAATCAACCATGCAACACATATCTGTTACTCAGCCCAAACAATTACTAACAGTTATATTGCCAGTCTCCTTTCACCCACCTTTCTGCACTTCTGCCATATTTTTAAAGACTCATTTTATTTATTTAAAAGGCAGAGAGAAAGGGATACACAGAAAGAGATGACTGGTTCATTCCACAAGTGGTTGCAATGGCTGGAACTGGGCCAGGATGAAACCAGGAGCCTGGAACTCCATCTGGGATTCCTACATGAGTGGTAGGGGCCAAAGTACGTGGGCCATCTGCTGCTGCTTTCCCAGGTGCATTAGCAGGGTGCTGGATCAAAAGTGGAGCAGCCTGGATGTGGACCAATGCTTTGATATGGGATGCTGGTGCTGCATTTTGCAGCTTAACCCATTTGCCATGGCAACAGCCCCTCCTCCCATTTTTTTTTTTAAACTGGAATATTTTTTAAAGCAAATCCCAGATTTCAACACTTCCCTGATGAGCAGGAATAATTTAAAATATAACTGCCCTAGCATGGTCATTTCTTTTTTGTGATTTTTTTTGGGGGGGGACGGGCAGAGTGGACAGTGAGAGAGAGAGAGAAAGGTCTTCCTTTTGCCGTTGGTTCACCCTCCAATGGCCGCCGCGGCCAGCGCACCATGCTGATCCGATGGCAGGAGCCAGGTACTTATCCTGGTCTCCCATGGGGTGCAGGGCCCAAGCACTTGGGCCATCCTCCACTGCACTCCCTGGCCACAGCAGAGAGCTGGCCTGGAAGAGGAGCAACCGGGACAGAATCCGGCGCCCCGACCGGGACTAGAACACGGTGTGCCGGCGCCGCAAGGCAGAGGATTAGCCTAGTGAGCCGCGGCACCGGCCCATCATGGTCATTTCTAATAAAATGACCAGTGATTCTTTAACATTAGCTACTAACCAATCCATATTCAAATTCTTCAGTTTTCTCAAACCCTTCATAACAGCAAGGAAGTGGTAGAAGCTTGGATTTGAACACAGGCAGCTGGACTCTAGCAGACGCGAAAATCTGTAACCCTGAGAAGGGAATTCACACAGAACTGAAGGAGCTGACAGGGAGCAAAAGCAGCAGGTGACAGCATGCCAGGAAACTGTAAGCAGAAAGTTGCTCATAACCTCATAGCAAAGGGTGGCTTCAGTCAGAAAGGGAGTTCAAAATGGGTCCTTTCAGGAAACTGATAACCTCAAGGAGGACAACTTTGGAGGCAGCAGATGGAAAGAGGTGGCAGGGTCCAACTAGACCAAGAAGTGCAAGGTGGATGGCAACAGCATCAGGCCCTGGTGGGTCCTGGCAATATGGTTGCCACCAGGGAAATGCATGGGAATGCCTCTCTCTGCACTCAGCCACAGCTGCACAAAAGCTGCACCAACCAGCAGAGAGCCTTGGTAACCCAGAATCATATATCATGTTCACAAGACAAGACTCAAAATACTCCCTCTGCATTACAGGTGATTTGGGCTGTTTTAAAACAAGAGATAGCCATAATCCGTATCTTTTGATGGTTTTGATTCTGTAAACAAGGAATGAAAAAGAAATGCTGAAAGAAGAAACTAAAGATCAGGCTGAAGCTTTCTTAGAGCCAGGTCCTAGAATCACAAGATGCTGCCCAGAGAAGCTGGTGTTCCATGATTAACCACAAGGTGGCACTGTTTCGAGCCCAGTCCCTGAATACTGTCAAAAATCAATGTAGACAATGGTGATTGTATTACCATTTTTTAAAAGATTTATTTATTTTTTGGAAAGGCACAGTTACAGAGAGGCAGAGAGGGAGAGAGAGAGAGAGAGAGCGAGGAAAAAAAGTCTGCCACCTGCTGGTTCACTCCCCAAATGGCCACAACAGCAACAGCTGGGCTGATCTGAATCCAAGAGCAAAAGCTTTTTCCAGATCTCCCATGTGGGTGCAGGGGCCCAAGGAATTGGGTTATCTTCTGCTGCTCTCCTAGGCCATAACAGAGAGCTAGATCAGAAGTAGAGCTGTCAGGATGCTGGCACTGAAGGCAGTGGCTTTACTGGCTACGCCACAGCACCGGCCCTGATGGTATTACCATTTCAAGGCAGCCATGAAAATGCATCCCTTTGATGTACTGCTGTGGGACACATAATTGACTGTCAGGCCCAGACACTCTGAATTCTCTTCTGTATCCATCCACGGGCTGCTCCAGGACAGTGCCTGGGCGCAGCCGAGCTCCTCCCCATGCCATCAGTGTGGTCCAGCTTTTTTGAACCCAGCTATGTTCAAGATGCCCCTCTCCTGCCCAGTTGTCAGGACTTCAGTACAGCCTCATTCAGAGGTGACCCTGTAAGATTGTGGAGACAGGAAATCTTCCCTAAATATGCAGTTTCCAAGTGGCACAGCCGGTATCCACTGGAAAAGAAAGCAGCCTGGATCGAGGCTACATACAGATTCTGGAGCAGTGAACAACGGTTTGGCCAGGACACACAGGGTTCTGAGGGAGAGGCATGTGGGCACAAAGTGTTATTTTTTCTTGCTCATTAATATCCACTCCCAACCCCCTGGAAACAGCTACTCAACCTGGTCATATTAGCTGGCCTACTTCCTCAGTCTCCCCAGAACTGGTGTAAATGGGCACATTGCAACCGAGCCCTACAGCATGAACACACACACACACACACCCCAACCAAGGCTGATGTGGTTACTGCTGCCTCCAAAGGTCCAGCCTATGGGCAGTGGAGAACAATGGTGAGTCTCATCCTGGCACCATGCCCTAAGGAGACCAACAGGCCACTGAAGGCAAATCAGGTGAGTTACAGATTCAGTGCTCCTCTGTAAATAAAGCAGAATTGGCTCCTTTAAATGGTTTTCCTCCACCCACTGGCACTGAGGCTTTGCTGTAGAGGGCGATGGAGAGACACTGGAGCTGTGTAAGGGCTTTGCTCCCCAGCTGCTGTGGTGCAGGCACTGGGACTTTCCTGTAGAGGGCGATGGAGAGACACTGGAGCTGTGTAAGGGCTTTGCTCCCCAATCGCTGTGGTGCAGGCAGCTCACACGCAGTGGTCAGCAATACCAGGCTCTCCCAGGCACCTCCCTCGGTTGTTTTGTACCAGGGCCTCTGGTGAGACACCTCTCTGTGGACAGTTTTCCCTGGTTCCCTGAAAGTTAGACTTCTAGCAGGTTCTACCAGCAGAGCTCCGCAGTCACTTCTCTACTGCCCATTGAGCCGTGTCCTCCCCACTAGATGTGGTCATCAGCCTAGTGGGTTGAGGAAGCCTGTTCTTTGGGTGCTGCTTGTCAACCCAAGCAATGAGAGTTGCTCCTTATATCTTCAGATTCTTTGGCGCTCTCTTCACTTCCTTCTAGCTAATCCTTCATTACTCCATTATTTAGAATTAACTTCCCTTTTTCAAATTACAGTTTGGTCTCTGTGCCATTCCCCATAGTGATAGGTACCTACTCCAGATAAGGGTTTGCCTTTCCTTCCTGCAGGGACACAGACACCACCACCATCTGGGAACTTATATAAGGTCTGATCCACAGACACAGAATCCCATGCAACACAGCCTGTAGCCAGGTGACCCACTTCCCAGGGAAGGAAATTTCAGAGTGTGTTACACACTGCACATCCACAAGCAGCCAGCCTCACACAGGGCTACAGCAACCAAGGCTAAGCTGAGTGCCATCTTTCAGGATGCCCATCCCCAGTAGGTTTGGGAACATGTTCAGGAACCCACAGGAGAAAGTGGACATAGCCCTAAGTTCCATCACCCCCAGTGCTCCACTTTGGGATCAGAGCAGAGTAGCAGGGAATAGGAACATTGGAAATCCTGGTTCCAAAGAGGCTGGCTGTCGCCAGAGGACACAGCAAGCCAAAGTCCCATTGAAAAACAACCATGACTAGGCCAGCGCTGTGGCTCAATAGGCTAATCCTCCGCCTGCGGCGCCAGCACACCAGGTTCTAGTCCCGGCTGGGGTGCTGGATTTTGTCCCAGTTGCTCCTCTTCCAGTCCAGCTCTCTGCTGTGGCCCGGAAGTGCAGTGGAGGATGGCCCAGGTCCTTGGGCCCTGCACCCGCATGGGAGACCAGGAGAAGCACCTGGCTCCTGGCTTCAGATCGGCACCGGCCGCAGCGACCATTGTGGGGTGAACCAACTGAAAAGGAAGACCTTTCTCCCTGTCTCTCTCTCTCACTGTCCCCTCTGCCTGTCAAAAAAAAAAAAAATGAAAAACAACCATGACTTTTGCAAGGCCATTTGGACTTCCTTTGTCTAGACACCTGGTGGTCACTGCCACCAACAGGGAGGAAGTAGGGCTACTTCTAAACAGGGGAGAAGGAGGAGCACCGATGGAATCCAGGAGACCTGCTGAGTGCCTCCTGCTATTCCCTTGTGCTGGTGTGACTGCACATGCACACACATAGCAACCTGAACCTAAGAAGGGTTAACTGTGCAGCAATCTGAGATAGTTTCCACCAGCCTCGCATCACAGGATGAATGCTATTACTGCCTTCTGGGGATCCCTGTCTTATCCTCCACAGGCAATTCCCAGTAAGTCTCATGCAGGTCTTATTAGGTCTTGCTATCTGCTTCTCAAAGGACTTAACACAAGCTTCACGCGAATAGAGCAGTGTGTGATGACCCCCCCAATCATCTCTCAATAAAACTCTTGTAATATGAGTAATTGTAGAATTGTTTTTGCTTTCCTCCATGTGTCTTTTTCTTTCTGTTACAGGCTTTTAGCACCACAGCCTTATCCATTATAGCACTTCATACATAGGAATTTTAATTTTATGGGTGTGGTTTGATTAATGGTTGGATGACACATTCTGTCGAGAATGCAAGCTCATTGAGGACAAGATCCATGTTTGTTTGTTTCCACTGTTGCATGTCTGACTCCTAGCATAATGCTGAGCACACAGTGGTGTTGCAGGAATTCAAGTTGGTTCTTGTCTCATGTCAACTAAGAAAGATGATGTGGACACTGAGAGTGGGTGACCAAAAGCTAGGCTAGATTTGATTGAGAGGCAAAGACTTCTGCCAACCAGGAGAGAACCAAGGGGAGGGTTCCAGCAAGGTCTGGGTGTGGGAGTTTACACAGGGAGTGCATATCAGTTGATCAGTTCTTCTACATGGTTTCAATATGTCAGCGGTCTGTTTTGGTTTTTTTATGTCTCTGGAGAAGTGGTCATGGTTGCTAATCAAGAGGAAGTGTTACCTTGCTGACCACTTGAGAAATGTTGAGAGCCAAGAAATATTGCTGACCTCCCCAGTTAAGGAAGGTTATGCTAACCGACCAGCTGCTAAGCACTTAAGACATGCTGCTTTGTGATGGGGTCTGGTCTGGTGCCAAAGCCTAGTTTCTCATATAGAAACTCTCTCTCTCTGCCTGCAGTTACTTTCACTACCTGCTCACATTCCCTTCTCCCAAACAGGAATCACTATCTGCCTATCAACCCTTTTAACTCCTTGCAGTAGTAGCTCAAGGTTAGTTGGAGCCTCCTCAGGAATTGTCCTTCTACAGCAAAACCTGTGTAGCAGCAAGAGAGTATTATTGAAAAGACAATATATGCAGAATTCCTGGAGGCCTGATTCTAGAACTGATCAATATGTATTGATCAGTACAGTGATAATATGAGAAGCAACTCTGACAGGGAGTTGCAACTAAGGTTAGTGCTGCGTAGGGCAGACTTCCTGCAAAGCAGAAACAAACAACTGTCAACACTAGGCAGACTTGCAGGGTTGTTGACAGTCATCAACACAGGGTCATTTGGAAAGCAAATGCTGCCTTTTCTACCCCTACCGAGTTGTATCAGGGCCACCTTGTCCTCCAGCATGGCTTGTGATTCTTACCAGCAGTGACGTTATCAGCTACAGCTGTCTGCAAAAGAAAGATTTCTGATCTCTTCACATGAACACTATGAGTACACAGTTTAAAGACACCCTTTAGGGATAACTGCACTTACACACACACATGAGAGAGAACACCTTAAATGTTGTACCCTGGGCATGTCATCAGTCTTACTCTTGTGTTGGTCTTCTTGGGATCCTGGCAAAAATGAGGATTCTGAGGGCCCTGGCCCCAGAGTTTGGTAAATTACATATACTTGAAAGTGAGTGTCACTGTTAAATTAATGACTTCACCTCACTCACTTGCTTTAAGATAAAGAATGGGGGCCGGCGCTGTGGTGCAGCGGGTTAACACCCTGGCCTGAAGCGCCGGCATCCCATATGGGCGCCAGTTCTAGTCCTGGCTGCTCCTTTTCCGATTCAGCTCTCTGCTGTGGCCTGGGAAAGCAGTAGAAGATGGCCCAAGTCCTTGGGCCCCTGCACCCAACGTGGGAGACCGAGAAGAAAGCTCCTGGCTCCTGGATTCATTCAGATCGGCGCAGCTCCAGCCATTGCAGCCAACTGGGGAGTGTAACAGCAGATGGAAGACCTCTCTCTCTCTCTCTCTCTCTCTCTGTAACTCTGGCTTTCAAATAAATAAATAAATCTTTTAAAAAAAGATAAAGAATGAACATATGCAATTTGTTAATGACATTTTTAAATAAGCATCTAACAGGATTGATAGAAGGTGGAATACTAAACCATGATCTATTTGCATAAAATTTAGTTTAATTTGATTTCTGTATACAGAGGAGGTATATGAAGAAAACAGAATACTTTGGTAAGAATTCAAAATACATACCAAGCACTGCAAAAACAGTATTACATGTAACTTCTTCTTTGGATTAAGAGGGTTTAAACAAATTTGACTTCAAGTACAAAACAAACTCCACATCAATAATTACCATAAAGTTTTATTGATCCGAAACATTTGCCATCAAAAAGAAGTCATTATAACTTATAATGTATAACTCTGGTTGTAAAAATCATAAGTATGCCACAATTTAGATATATTTTCTACATTTATAGTTAAGTATGAAAATCTTCTGGAAGTTCACATTCCCTCTAACTATTAAATTATTGCATTTTGTATTACCTTCTTAGAAACAAAAAATATAATCATTTAAGTATGTTAATTTGGGGGTTCCCAAAATTGTTATTTTATCTCATGGGTTAATAGACATTGTTTAGGAAACAAAGTGCATCTGTTTGGGGGATAGTTTATGTATAACTATAACTGATAAATTAAAAGTAGAAATTATGCAAATTACAAACTCTTACAAAGTACAGAAGTGTATTCTCAAGATGTTAAGGCACGTGGAACCAAAAGACACCTCGCTTCCCTGGGTCAGAGATTGGCTTTACGCTTGAAAGACTCCTTCAACCTTTTGACAGTAGAAAGGTCCCCAACTCCCTCGGGCCAGTTGTCATGATCTGTAAGCAAGTAGGAAATGTAGGTCACTTGCGAATCAGTGAAACTCCATTGTCTTCTTATTGTTTCCCTGTTTCATCCATCGTCACAGCAAGAAAAAAGAAATCTTTAGGACAAATGGTATAGTTACTTTTTTTCAACGATTTTATTTATTTGAAAGGCAGATACAGACAGAGAGAGGGAGAGACAGAGAGAAAGGTCTTCCACACATTGGTTCACTCCCCAAATGGCCGCAATGGCTGGAGCTGGGCTGATCTGAAGCCAGGAGCTAGGAGCTTCCTCTGGGTCTCCCATGTGGGCGCAGGGGCCCAAGAACTTGGGCCATTTTCCACTGCTTTCCCAGGCCATAGCAGAGATGGATCAGAAGAGGAGCGGCCAGGTCTCAAGCCAGCGCCCAGATGGGATGCCAGTGCTGCAGGCGGAGGCTTGTACTGTGACGCCACAGCGCCAGCCCCAAGCTATAGGTTTTGTAAAGAGCTGGCTTTGAATCCCAGCTCTGCCATTCACTAGTCTGCCCAAGGCATAATAACATCTACCTTTTAAAGGTATGGGTTAAAGGTGACACTATCCGGCGCCGCGGCTCAGTAGGCTAATCCTCCGCCTTGCAGTGCCGGCACACCGTGTTCTAGTCCCGGTCGGGGCGCTGGATTCTGTCCCGGTTGCCTCTCTTCAAGGCCAGCTCTCCGCTGTGGCCAGGGAGGGCAGTGGAGGATGGCCCAAGTACTTGGGCCCTGCACCCCATAGGAAACCAGGAGAAGCACCTGGCTCCTGCCATCAGATCGGTGCTTTGCGCCGGCCGCAGCGCGCCAGCCGTGGCAGCCATTGGAGGGTGAACCAATGGCAAAGGAAGACCTTTCTCTCTATCTCCCTCTCTCACTGTCCACTCTGCCTATCAAAAAATAAAAATGAAAAAAAAAGGTGACATTATATGTGCAGTACTTGGCATACTATGGATGTTCAATAAATCATATTTCTTTAACAATTTTTACATACTGTGCTGCCTTTGTTCCAGTTGCCTCCCCAGCCATCTTTCCAATTCCCTGTCTCTTCTTTCCAATAGCATCGTTTCCACTTAAGAATCAACGAGGGTATGGGGAAGTGACCTTCTGCTGGCACAACTGGCAGGGGAGGAGGAGGCAGCATGTGATCTAAGCTAAGTCAGCCAGGACCTCCGATCCCCTGGCTGTGTCATTACTTGAGAATGATGTTTACAGAAGCTGATCTAACACACAGTGCGTCTCAGAATTTTCTTAGAAATTCTGAAACACAGCCATTCTCCCTCCCCTCTCTCTTTGTGCAGGCGGATGTGAACAGAGAGGCATGTTGTCTCAGGGGCAGCAGGCAGCTGCCTTGCAACCAGGACAGCTGTAAACAAAGTCAACACAGCAGAAACAAAACAGAGGAAGCAGGAGAAACTGTGTTTGAGAGTTGTCTCACCTCCTTTTCTGGTACTGAGGTAACAAGTCCCTATATCATTTAGGCCCATTTGACTGGCAACTAAACAAATTCTGTCTGACACTGGGCTCTCTCTGTGCATTACCTAACTTCATCCTTCTAACACCTCCACGAAATAAATACTGTATGTGTCCCATGTTGTAGAAAAGAAAACAGAGGCCACTTGAAATTAATTTTCCCAAGCTAAGAAGGGTAGATAGAGCCAGGTTTCTCTGCCATGCACTCCCATTCTGGAGCCAGCAGTCTTAAAGACAACACCATACCAAAAGGCTACATACTCCTGTCCATTGTGTGGAAGTATTTTTATTCTAAAAAGATAGATATGTGTGCTTTCCCCCAAAACTTAAAACAAATTTAGTACTGACAAAACAGTGTTAGAGTCACAAAAGAAAATCAATTTATTGGAGGCGTGGAGAAGATGCCATCTGGAATTTTTTGGCCTTTCTAAAGGAAAACCAGG